CGCCGCCCGCGACTCCAACTCCCAGCAGCGCCCGCGGCGCGGAGGCCGCTGGGAGCCGCAGTGCGGAAGCGCCGAGCGGGGCCCGGGGCCGCGCCACGGCCGGGGGAAAGCGCCGCCGAGCAGGGGGCGGCCGACGCTGCCGTCCTCCAGCTCGCTGCAAGCCTCAGGGGTAAAATTCAGCTGCTACGAGCGGTCGCTGAGGCAGGGAAACGGCTCCGCGCCCAGCTGAAAGCCCACAGTGAAAGGTCTGGAGCCCTCTGCGAGGGTTTCCCCCATCTCCCTCGACAACGGCCTCATCTACAGCATCGATGAGACTCCCCTCCCTCTCCTTTAGAGACAGTGAAATCTGCACACGGGAAAAAGTCAACGAGCAACTCACAATTTCAACTGCCATTGCAGTCAGTAACTTATTCCAGTAAGCGGGCCCTTCCCTTTCACCAGAGGACAATATATAAGGCGAGGCAGATGGGGAGCAGGCAGAGGAAGGTAAATATAAAGCCCATTACGCATTACTTGCACCCCTCCAGCATTTTGCAGAACGCAAGCATAAAGCGCAAAGAAGAATCGAGGCTGAGGGCCGTTCTGCGAGATACATGATCGTTCCCTTCCCTCTATGACTACAGATACACTGGGATGTGCCTCATTAGTCACACTTTCATCAAAAAGCAGTGATAGGACTCTGCCTCTTAAAGGCTGCCCAGCAGACTTCTTGGCCACGTTCCTCCCCGCACCCTTGTGCCCCAACAAGCTGCAGCTCACCAAATCACCACACCAGTACCACTCTTCTACTGGCACATCTAATAATTTTTAATTGCGTAGAAATTCTGCTTACAGGTACCAGCACAAAAGCAGTTTATTGCCAAAAGTACAGAAACCAGGGTCCGCGTCCACCAGTGGAAGCACACCTAATTTAAACACAAACTCCAGCGAGCAATGTGAGGAATCTGAGTCTCTCGGACTGCTGCAGCTCCTTCCGAGGACAGCTCTTCATTAAACCATCTCTGTAAGGACCTGAATAGAAGCTTAGGAAGTCCCGCCTGAACATATTCAAGTCGCGCTTAAGTCCTGGAGAGCTCAGCCCTGGAGTCACATACGGCTTAAATCCCTCAAGGGCACCGCTTGTGTATCTCGCCAGCCTGCATGCAGTTACAAAGAACAGAGACGAAGAGCACATACTTTCAGCACAAACTTCGTGCAGTCTCTCGGACTGGTGCGGGCAAATTCCAGTCAGACACTGCAGAGACTGGCTTTGGAACAAACAACAAGTTTTATTGCAAGAAAAGAAACAAACCCCGTTCGTCATTTGAGACCTAGGTCCCCAAGAACCTCTCCTCTCTGTGGAGAGTTTAGGTTAATCCGTTAAACTTCGAGTCTGTCAATCAAACGTGATCCGAAAACTGCGCTCTTGCTCCTTGCGGCGGCTCTCGCAAACCTTTGTCACCTCTTCTACCTTTCTCTGCAACACGGCTGTGGGAGAAACAAGTCATTAATCTTACAATCACCCTGAAACACAACCCCGCGCAGTTTAGCCTGCGGAAGGAGAAAGACAAACAAACATTGACAGCCACTCAGATTTGACAGCGCACAAAGAAGGAGGAAAACCCAACACAAAGCACTGCTAACCCTCCAAGGCAAAGAAGATGGTCTAAAAAGCATTCCGAGGCATTCAGGGACTGGCAGGCAGAATCGGAAGAGTCCTGGGACATGTTGTCGACGCTGTTTGCCATGCCAGTTTGTTGCAGTTTCCGGGCACTGCATCAGAGAGCAGAGCAAACCCTCCCTCAACAGGAGCTGCAAGCTGGTCTGCAGCTTGAGAAAAAGCAATTGCTCTATAAACCAGTTTCCCCTACCCACCTCCTGCTAAACTCACGTTGAATTATGCAAATTACCGGCAAACCACACAATCTGTTACAAGTACATACATATTTTCTTGCAGGACATCACACAGCCATAACAAGCTTTTAACTGTAAATACAGAAAAGACAGCGCAGTCGCACAGCAGAGCTGCAGAGCACTTGCAGCCGCAACAGCCATCATCCAGTATTTGCAGATCACCGAATTGGAAACACGTAAGCCACTGACTGATCACCAACTTTACGTGCAGCAGGCACCGCAATAAACAAAAAGCCTTGGCACAAGCTAAAGCAATTTCTAATTTCATTCCATGAACGCTTATCAGAAGCTATTCAACAGGGCTACGGCGTTATGCCAGCCTGAGGCCTGGAGACAGACGTTCCAGGTTAGGTTGTATTTTGTATCGCGTGCCAAGCCCAGAATCTTCCAGTAACATATTAAGCAACACATTTCAGTTTGTCACTTTTCAAAAATTCACCGTGCAAAAAGCATTATGGCATAAAATGGCAGCCTGCTTCACTGTCTCACAGACCTCGCTCGCTCAACTCGGGAATCAGCTATGAACAACCACAAAAGAGAAGACTGCCTGCTTCTCCCAGGAAGAGGCAGAAGGTCAGAACAAGGCTCTGGCCAAACGCTCCCTTCCCTTGCGGAAGCAGCACCACCCTGCGTCCGTGTTCAGCAAGTCCATTTAATTGTGGCAGCGTAGGCTAACAGTAATTGAATAAAGTGCCACAGTTGCACAGAATTCTTTAACAAGTCAGACAAGTTAACAGCCACTGTGAGAATGAATTGTTGTTAACCGATAAGACAATTTCTTCGGTACTGAAGGACAGAGCAAAAAACGGGTCGCCTTTCTAGGAAAATTTAAAGGAAACAGGTTGCTACTTTCACACACGTTCTCTAAAGTCAGAATTCTGATGCCACAGGCGCTGCACCAGATTTCCCCATAAAGGCGTGCCTGGAATGCGCAAGTTAGCACATAGGTTCTGGAAGGAAAAGCCAAATTAAATCCTGACCTAAGCCAATAATACTATTTAAAGATGGATAGTAGCATGCCTGCTTTCACCCAAGAAGGACACCCAGTGTGAGCACTGTCACAGCACTGCAGCCAGACAGTGCAATTTGGTGCTGGTGAGAGGAGCACTGCTTTATTCTGCCGTGCCCCCGTGTGGCTGCTAACATCAGTTAAAGCCAAAACCGTGTACAATTCTTGAATCCCTCACAAGGAGGCACTCCCTGTGAGAAGAGTTCCTTTGTTCTGTTTCTTTTTAGCATGGCACCACGGTATACTAGTTAAGGGTGAATCCAAGACAAGAAACAACAGTAACTACGCTATCAGGTTTTCACTATTGAGTGCATCTTCTGCTCTGCGCTACACCTCAAGTTATTGCGACTGTGAAATTTCCACACTGTTACTCCAGAGTCACGGCGCCTGCAGATAAATGCATGCTGCTCAGTCTTCCCTGGATTTGTCTTTCCTGTTGGGGGGGGGGGCAGGATGATAACATTAAACACGCGCACACACACACACGCTAACTTTTCTGTTCCAAAGAAATACTCTCACCTGAGTTCTGCTCAATCCACTGCAAGGAATCCATGTGTGCATTCAAAATTTTACAGATCTGCTGAAGCTGAGCAGGAAGAGAAGGTGCAAGTCATTTGTTACAGTACATAAAAACTAAGAGCAGTAAAGGACAGCCTGCCTGTCCCTGCCTTTGCAACATGATGCAATCAAATTTCTCATAGTTACAGCTCCACTAACTTAACAGCCGCTTTCCCGGGGAAGTCTGTGCAGCAACCGTGTTGCTTTGCTTCTCTTCACCACCAAGAAAACAGACTGGTTTATTCCAGTTCAGACCTACAAACCACCAAGACATGAATCACCTTGGGCTTGAGGTGGCAAAAGTAAAAAGGAATGGGAAAAAACTCAGTCCGCAATACTGAAGGGAAATTTTTACTGAAAAAAAGCTGCTCAGAAAAGCCACGCGGAATACCAAGGTCAATTTTATACATATCAGAAAGAGCTGGCAATTCAGGTCTTGTTTCCATGAGGATACAAAAGTAGTATAAGGAAAAAGAATCAGCAGCTAGGAGGGTATTCTGAACAAAATTTAGATTTGCCACAAGAAAGATGCAAGCAGTGGAGCAGGTGGCCGGATCAACATTAAGAAATGCCTCTGAAAAAAGTTGTAATCCAGGCAAAAATCAGACAACAAGCAAATAACCAGAGTTCATACCAGAATGAGGCACTTCGACAACTATTAACAGAACTGCAGAGCCAGTACGCGACTCAGGATGGCTTGTGCTGTGTTATAATGCAAGTTTTACCAGAAGAGAACCAACCCCAGGACAAAACAAAATACCCTTCCAAGGCTGAAACTACAAGCCGCAGAGTATCCACGAGCGGACAAACAAAAGTTACAATATCTGTTTAAATATCCCTTGCCTCTTTACCAACTAACAAAAAAATAAAGCTTGGATTTACCGGGTCACTTGTGTCTGCTGGGCCTCCTGATGTATTCAAGTGCTCAATGATGTCCTTCAGATCTTGTGCCATATGCTTCAACTGAGCATCTATGTTTTCAGCCAGTTTATAGCTGCAAAACACATGGGAACCAAGGTCAGAATATTTAAAGAGAACTCCAGAAAACCTGCTCCCAGTCACATCAACTCTGGGCAGTCAGAATTAGCTTCCACGCCTTTCAACCAAGGCTGGCAGATACGTGGCAACAGCACCATGAGAGGCATTCTGTCACACAGATGAAGTAACTCCTAATCTCTCTCTCTCTTGACAGACACATGGAGACAGACAAGCAATAGTTTGGAGGGCTTTCTGGAAGGTTTGGTACGAACGGAAAGAACCAGCTAGTCCGCGTTCTTCAAGGTTCCTCTCTCTCGAACCAGACAAACTACTTCTTTAAGTACCCTGCTACGATTCAACACTTAAGGCTTACAAGGAGGCTTGAGCCACGCATAGTGCATTCTGCTCTCATCACTTTATCACTAAGTAATCACTAGTTTCCAGAGATTATGCCAAAATTAGTATTTTCCCAGACAGCTGATTAGACCAACATCCAAAGAGCTTTTCCTGCTG